GTAGGAAAGGGGCAGCCTCAATTGCCTTCAAAGCTTCTGTTGCTATACTTCCCCTCGCATAGTTGAGCAGGTAGTCGAACCAAGTGCGCTCCATCATCATTGCAGCTGTCCTCACTTTGCACCGCGTACTGTTGATGTGCGCCTTGAGGTCCTGTAAGTTGTTGTCTTCCAACCTTGTAATGCATCATGTTCGGCTAACTCAGGACACCCTTCTCTCACACGAAGATTGAAAATGTCCCCGTTGCGGCCCTCCAGACGACATCGCGAACCACTCCAGGTCATTGTATAACCCAATTGCTGCACCAATGCACCCAACGGAACAATAGAGGTCGTTGACATAGCTGGGTTGTCACTGGTAACTGGCACTAAAATCGTGCCTGCTCTGTTAATCCTCAAAGCCACTGACTCGCCACCCGCCAGGTTCACGATGACCGGATCAGCCTGTTCCCACTCCTCCTGGGACGATGCGCGTCGCAGGGCGTGGGTAGCACCAGAGTCTACCAACGCATATGCATGGATACCTCCTGTCATAGGGCGATGAGCTCGTAGAGACACCACATTCATCGAAGGCGCTGTCGTCTGGGGCTGAGCTCCCGCAACCTTAGCGGCAGCCTGCAGCAAGGACTCCAGTGTCCAGATTGGTTCTCCCGCAACCACATTGGGAGCTGACGCCGAATTCGGCGACGCCTCACCTTCTGGCTCAGCCTTTTGGATTCTCGGCGCTGAGGTAGGCGATGTGGTAGCGGAGCCCCCACCACTAGACTGCTGAGTCCCACCCTTGCCTCCTGGCTTTGCTATCTCCGTTGGGCAATCTCGTTGACGATGATCTTCTGAACCGCAGGCTATGCACTTTTTGGATCGCTCATTTTTTGGTAAGGAACCCATATCATGTCCATACGGACACTTCTGGCCACGTCGGCATCCTGTGGATTTATGGAAATACTTGCAGGGCCCCTTTCCACCATTGTTTGCAGCACCCGCCGACCTGTCTGTAGAGGTATTGCCCTCAATAGCCCTCACCTTCGGAGTAGGCGTACTCGACGATGTTCGAGAAGCCGCCAATGCTTCCAGCTCCGCCTGTAAATGTTGATGGTAGTGCTTGACGTCCTGTAAAGTAGGTTGGCCATCTATACGGAGTGTAGACCGCAACAATTGCGTCCGAAACTGAGCATCACCACCTTCCAATATATACTTCCCTGTAACAGCCGTGAGCGTCTTTGACAACACTGTGCCATCTGGACACATCATATTTAAGTCACTGCACCTCTGCACCCATCTTGGCCACGCTCTGAGCCACGTCAAAACGTCCTCCAAGCTATCATAGGCAACAGGTGTTTGAAGGTTACCCAGAACCAGTGTTTTCTCCGATGCACCTCCTGGCTGATACAACGTATGTAAGCGAAACATGATCAGGACAGAGTGTTGTACCACGCGCCGAGCAATAAGGTCTTGCTTAACAGCCTCCGATAGACACTGAAGTAACATGGTGCATGCTCGCGCATTGACACGAGTCCATTTTCCCTCAGCCAAGGGTTTATACCCTTGAGGTTGTAGCTGCAATCTCTCCAAAGGCGTAGACCCAAGCCACTGTGTATAAGTGGAGTGCACTACATCCATCACCTTCGACCACCACGTCCCCGAGGAAGGCGAGATGTCCTGCGTCGCTATAGCAATCTGGGCCAGCCAGTCTTGCAGCACAATGCCGGTTGAGTTCCCCTCAGGTGGCACTAAGGTTGGAAGCGTAGTCGCGGATGACTTCACCGCCTCTGGAGTATCTTCCTCTAACCCCTTCTGTAAAGTCTTCGTCTGCATGTCTTGCAACTGCGTCATGCTCCTAGCCAGCACCTCAAGCAGCACAGAAGTGGAGTCCCTTGGCACTGCACTGGATCCAGCAATAGGCTGAGCATTTTCGCTAATCCCAGCTGTGGCTTCTGCAGGTTGAGATAGGTTAGGGTTCGCTCCCCCAGACCAATCACCCCACAAAGCACTCAATGGATCCCTCCATTGTCCCGCCCTGGTAGGCGGAGAATCCTTGGGAACTGCCTCTGCTGCCGCCATCTCCCGGGACAACTGCTCCGCCTTCGCCTGGTCCAGCTGATCTTGTAACCGCGCATTCTCCTTCTCCATATGCTGTAACCTCTCTACCAAACCTCCCAGTTGTCGCTGTACTTCTGCTTGTATTGCTTCGGTTGGTATCTCGCTGCTGCTGGGGGTTAGGGTATTAGGGTTAACCATATGTCCTCTACCATCACCAATTGCACTCCTCGCATCACCCTGCACTGCAGTAGGGATAGGCCTTGTAACCACACCAGTGTCGCCAGTCCTTGATTGTCCTGCAGATCTTCTTGGCAAAGGCGGTGACGGCATCGGGCTCGGCAGCCAGCTTACCGCCGGGGCCCGGAATAGCTCGCTAAACTTCGCAATCCAGCCTTGTAAGTTGCTAGGTTGCTGCTGTGCCACCATGTCAGGTGACGCCGACGATCTGGCCGGCCGAATACGGGGGGTCTGAAAAACCCCTTGTTGAAAAACATTGCCACGAATATCATCGCTCATTTGCTCTGGCACCAATCCTCCCAGTCCAGCTGGTCCACCCCCACTTGTACTGCCTTGGTCAGTAATGTCGGCGCGGGGTCTCGACCCCTGAAACAAAAGAGGATCCTCGCCAGTTCCTCCTCCCGTCTGAGCAGAAGAAGACTCCTGATTCAAGGCAGAGGTCGTGGCTGCAGGCTGCGGCTCCGCCTCCATAAAGACGTCACAGCCCCCATTCTCGCCTCCCCCACCTGTAACATTCTCATGCACTGAGTCTGGCCGAGCTGTAACTTCTCGGCTGGATCTTGGGGCAGCTTCGTCCCGGCCTTGGTCTCCAGCAGGACGATCGTGATCACCGCCTCCATTCATCTGCGGCTTATTGTCGCAGGTCGAGCTTGGGCTCATAACCTGATGAGGACCGCAGGACTCTTACAGGCAGCTCCTAAGGCAGAAAGCGCACCATGGCCCAAGGTGTCCTCTAGTCGAATTTTGGCTCACGCAACAAACGTCGAATGCTCGCCAGACATGCTATGCATCTGTGCGATTGCAAACTTCGAGAGTCTGAAGTGAAAGCGCTTGCTAGCTTTCTGAATGCTTGTGGCACAAGGCTTCTCTTCGCAGCCAGCCTTTAAGCCATCGACAACAAAAACATGCTTCCAGTGTTCAAAAGGCCAAATGCCCTTTGCTGAATTATACCTCTCTACAAGAAGGGTAATTCTTGTGCCCCGAAGGAGGAGGTGCTTCAATTGGGTCCCACTCTTCCCCAATGAGTTCAGACTTGAGGGGCCAGACACCCGGCGACTTGAGAGTGGGAGTATCCACTCCGAGGGGCACGCCTTCCCTGAGGGTAACTGGGTACCCAGAGTCAACATCCTGAATATCTTTGAGCAGCTTGTGAATCACATCAAGGAAAAACGGCTGCCCAGCATCAGGCTGGGAGTGTTGTGGGAGAATGAAATCACGGATCTCTTTCAGCACCGAATCTGGGAAAGGGTGCTGTTTTGCACCAGATGCTGTAGGCCGGAAGCGTGAGCTCCTGTTCTCAAGTGTGGCGGAAGACGACCTGGGGAAGTCTTCCCGCCGCCATCCCTAAGAGGCCTAACCTTGAAACCGTGGGAAACCCTCATGGTGGCATCATCGAGGGACACACTTTCGGAGAGAGGAAGCGTCGAAGGCCGATCAGACCCTATCTCCAGGGATGCACGTACCTGATCGCCAGCATGGGTACCTGCACCAGGAGACCCAGCTTCTTGACGCTGCCCGTAGGGCGGGGAGTACAGCCGCCCCGACGGGTGCGGCCCCCTGAGCCGTCCAGCGAGGATGCTCTTGTCCCAGCGAGGGATCAAAGTCAGTTCCAAGAGGACTCTGTAGGGCTTGGGCCGGTCTCGCAACGGAGGAGCCGGACAGCGTGCGGGCCGCGATATCTTTAAGCATCAAGTCTGGGCGTCGAATGCCCCGGGCCGCAATCCCTGTAAGCATCAAGTCTGGGCGTCGAATGCCCCGGGTCGCAGAACTCGACAATTTTGGGTGGTCTGGGTGTGTGCAGAGCTTACCATCCCAGGCTTGGAGGGGGAGGTTCGTGACTGCCCTCGTGGGGCGACGCTCAAAGAAACCAAAATGACAAAGATCGAAGTGAAGAACCGAAAGCCCTAAATCTGAAGTCCAGGCCTGAAGGGCTGGTGTAGCCCAGGCTGAGGAGCATCGGTTCGTGGCAGGAGAGGTAGCGCCTCGAGCCGGGTCCTCAGCGAGCTCAAGGAAGCACAGAAACTGAGCTTGGCCCAACTGAGTGGACACCTTGGCAGCTAACCATGAAAGCAAAAGGAATCTCAAGAGAAGGAGACTCTCCTCATCGGCGATTCTTAAGGCTTCTGCAGGAAGGGCCTGTATGCCCCAGGCATCTCGGGGGTTGCGTGATCGCTCGGCATGGAAATCACCTGAGTCCTGAAACCACCTATCCTTACCCCAAGTGCGAAAATCCGGGCAGGCACCAACAAAGGAAAGACGCCCGTGTAACGCAGCAGTGCAGAGAGCCCCGTAGAGAGCATCATCCAAAATGTCCTTGCCATCTGGTTTCCGGCAGGAGTCAAAAGCCATAACTCTCGGAGAGAGTCCCGGGGCCTGGGCATGAAGGATTGCTTCCAAGGAAGCGGCATCGTCTTTGCCCGCAAAAGGCATAACAATGGCGTCTTTGGGGAGCTGGGCAGCCGAGCAGTCAGGAGACCATTTGAGTCTGTCCACAAGGCGGTTCGGGACGCCTTGCAGCCAGCTGGGAGGGTTTCCTACCGGCAAACCGCCCGGATAGTGGTTCTCAATCCAAAGCCCGAGGGTAGAGGGCCTGTCATCCGAGGATCCACTATTGGCAGGCTTCTGCCCAATGTGAATTGGGTCCATGCACTGAAGAGGGGAACATCGTGTCCCCTGCGTTCCGCTTGCTTCTTGCGCAGGGCCAAGGGCACCTGGAGACGGGAGCCTCACTTATACGGGCAGTTGTCTGGGCTGTGCTCGTGCGGAGGGGCATTACACACCCATCCGTCCTTGGTCACGGGGCAGTTGTGGGAGCGGCCACAGTTGCCTGCACACTGCTTCTTGATGTGGTAGTCGCGGCAGAAGGGAGCGCCCTTCGACTTGTTCCTGGACTTATTCTGGGGCCAGGAATCCTTTCCCTTGCCTTTGTGATCGCCCTTCTTACCAGGCGTGTCCTTCCCTTTTCCATTCTGCTTAAGGAAAGGTTGGAAGACAGGCTGGTAGGCAGGCCAAGGCTGCTTGCCTTTCCAGGGGCCCTTTCCCGGAGCCTTGCAAACTGCCTGCCTTTGTCCCCTTTGTCCCAGGTCCCTTAGTACCTTTCTCTCCCGGTCTGGGCACTCTTTCATAGACCTCACGCGTCCAGAAAAGAGCATCAGCACGGATCTCCAACATCGCTTCCTTGAGCGATTTGCCTTCGAATACACGGTTGTGAATGGACCGCCATGCATTACGTTCTGCATAGAGCAGAGTCTTCTCCGAAGGAGTAGGGGTTCGGCCTGCGATGTCAGGTCCCCAGAACCAGTCATACCAGTCATCAAGATCATGCTTAGACACGTCAAACTGGGAGAACTGAGGGAAAGCAAGCAAGCACATGGACAAATTGTTCCGGAAAACCCTGTGCATCCGATCCAGGTGTCTCCGAGTCGTCGGGAGTTTGCGCTCCTCTTCCTCTTCTTCCTTGTCCCAACCGTCCACAGTCACTTTGCGTCTGGTCTTGAACGGTTTCTCCTCCAGCTCCGGGAGGGCACTAACAATGTACTTAGCATTGATAAAACCCAACTCGCCTTTGGAGCAAAAGCGAAATTGAGTCTTCAGCAAAGCATCACTGCCCTGTGCCTCAAGCTTGGGCTTGGGGAGACCAGTCTCCTTGACCCACTCCGTGAGGAGCTGCTGTCTGTCGCAAAGAGCCTCCAGCCCCGAGCACTCCGAAGAGCCCTGGCCTGGAGTAACGCACGAGCGAGGAGTGTAAAGGTTCTTAGTCATGTCCTTGGCCGCCTTGAT